AGAGCGACGAGACGCGAGTCGACGTGCAGAGGAGGGGGTGTTTTATGGGCAGACGCGGATGTAAAAATACTATTTTTTAAAATGATTGACGGGCCCATCACGACCACGTGATCCGACCTTTTAAAAGCGATTGAAACTCCGCTCAGCCCAAATCGCTTCCTCCTCCACCACCACCACCACCACCACAATGACCAAACGAACCATTTCCACACATACCGATAGCGATGCTGACGATGCTCCTCAAACCACCCGCCCTCGCACGCGAAATGCAACCCGCAAGATCGTCGTGGACTCTGACGATGAAGACGCCGTGTCTGGCTCGGACGTGCAGATGGAGTCCCCCAAACCTCGGCCGAAGAAGAAAGTGAAAAAGACTTATGACAAGATTACCAAACCGGCCGCGGGCGCCGTCATCAACAGCGTCGCGCATCTCGTCCTCCAACTGGAGAAGTCCAAGCTAACACAAAGCCGGCTTGCCCTCCGGACCGCTGAGCTCGAGGAAAAGAATCTCGCAACGCAACTCGCGGTAGAAACACTCCACGCCACCAACATCGAATCAAAGAAGATCGCGGATCTCGAGGTACACGGTGCGTATGCGCGTGGATATATGCGCATATATTGATCATTTTTTTAGCGGCGGCCGTTGCGGCTGAAGAGGCGAAACAGGCCACAATGGCCGTGCAAGCCGCCAACGCGCGTAGAAAAGAGAGTAAGTTGTCTCGCTTGTTGTTGGCGCGCATATATTCATTCTACGCAGACGCTGGATTTAGTGCCTACACGTCGATCTCTTCTGCATTCGCCCCTCCCCCCATTGCGCCTCCTCCTTCGACCTCGATTTTTGGCGCACCCCAGGCCACCTCGCCTTTTGGCGCGTCCCAGAATAACAGAGGTCCCGCCTTTGGTTTGCGTCCGTAGCTACCGACTCATGTATTCTATTAAAACGCACGATGCGAGGGAAAACCCCATGGTAGTTTTTAAATGTTCTTCTTCTTTTGGGCGCGTCTTATATACATATTGTTGCAGACTCCTGCGTACTAGCTAGTGTTTGTGTCTGTATCACGTCCAACACGTAAAAACTCTTCCTCTCCTACCACCATGAGAGATAATCCCACTACCATGGCGCTCGACGCCAGAGTCGAGCAGCTCGCCCGCCCATCGGTCGCCATCTCCGGCTCTGCCGAGCCGACAAAAGCACCAGCCGTCCCAGAGGCCGTCGCCGCCAAGGCGAAGAAGAGAGCTACCGCCCTCGAAAATATACTCAAACTCCATATCACGGACTCTGAGCTCGCGCCGATGGACGAGATCATCGCCCAGATCGATGAATGGAACAAGCTAGACGCTTCCACCAACAGCCCGCTCACCCTGACAAAAAGAGCCGCCATCTTGGCGGATTGGGAAGCTTTTATCGTCAAGTGTGAAGGCGTCTCGTCGGAAGACGTGTGGTACCGAGAGATCGTCGAGCGCAACTTCCTCCGTTTTTTGCCTTGGAAGGTGGAACTTTACAAGCTCGACCCCACCCACAAAAAAAGACTTAAGGCCCGAACGCTCGGCGGATGGTGTGGTCTGTATCTCCACGCCGTCGTCACCTACACCCGCGAACGCGATACAAATAATAAATGTGGCCTTTCGTTGCTGATAAAAAAGGGATACTATCCCAGAGTAAAAGATCAAGTACTGCAGCGTATGTCTCTTTTCTTCTTCTTGGTCTTGTCTAACCCCATCTAGTCGTTCGGCACCACCAGCTCGATCGCTTCTACAACAAAAAATTCTATTTTGGTCGAGCAGAAATACAGCTCATGATAGACACTATTCTCGAGTCGACGAAAAGCCGCCAAGTGTCGATTCAGCACGTCAGTCAACTGCTCACAATGTTCACTTTCGCGTCTCGCGCGAGTACGCTCGGTCCCCATCACGCCACGCTGTGCACAGCCGATGAGGTCCGCCTTTTTCTTGTTCTTTTCTTTTCTCTTTCTCGTTCTGATCCTTGGACAGATCTTTACATGCGGGCAGGTCCGGATCTTTTGCCACGGTCCCATAAAATGGTCCCTTTTCTTCGCCTTTCGGGCATTCAAGGTATGTAACATGTAGCACGCGGATACAACCCTGGCTTACTATTCTCACAAGAGCCATTTGATGACCCTCACCGGCCTCGAGCAGACGTTTCGGGCAGACGGCGTCTTGTTCTCCCACAACATTTCGTTCGATCTTACCGTCCCGATGATGGCACACTTCTTTGCGCTTGATCGCTTCGAGAAGCACTATAAGGTACATATTTTGTTTCTTGTCGACGTCGCCTCTCTCTCACGCTGTTCGATAGACAATCGACGAAATGTGCGACGATCTCTCGGCCGAGATCCATCTCGATCCAAAGTATGCTGACGAGCCAGTGTGAGTCCCAAATCTACGATTACAAACGTCCTTACTGACCGTTTCCAGGTTTTTGAAGGCCAAAGAGGGTGGGGGCGGGTTCGAAGTGCCGCATTTGCCCGCAACGGCATCCTCCAACTGCCGCATGATGCGGCATTGGTCTAGCAAGTCGGGGCTCCCCGAGGTGGGCACGAATAGCGTCCGCCGCGACACTGGGAACATCGTTGGTTTTTTCTTGTCTTTTTTTGGCATTGGCTAATCGTTCAGTAGTTTGGCCTGCAACTCACTACTCGCATCGCTAAGGATATTATGACCCACGCCTCCGACGCCGGCCCCCACCGCGACAGCTACGCGCTCGAGATGGGCATGGGAAATCTGCAGCTTACGCATATCCGGCTCGGCGAGATGGCGGGTACCGAGGAAGCAACGGCGGGCGAAAAGCTGCGGGTCGGTTCCCTTCCTTGCCTTTCAAGCGTAAGCTGACCTTTTTGTATAGGAGGACAGCCTTCGCAACGCCTTTCGGCAAGCCGCCGTCGAAACCCTCGTCCGGCGAGCGCGCGAAGACCCCTTTGAAGCCGCAAAAGACCTCGCGATCCGGAAGCAGGAAATTAAGCGACAGGTCCAAGTAAGTCCGTCATGCGCGCACGACATGCATTTGCCAACTCCCTTACAGGAGGATCCCCGATTAACACCATACAACGATGCGCAGAAAAAGGCATACAAGGAATTCCTGGCGTGCTTTAACAATGCCGGACAGAGTTTCGCGGCAAAACCACTCACGGCCAACGTTAACAAGATGGTCAAGCGGGCGAACGGGGAGATTCCCCAAGTCGCAAACGAGCGCAATCCTCTCGAGTACGCCGCCGGTCACGACAAGGTTACCATCGTCCCGGTGAGTACCGTTGCCCTAATTCAAGCTTTGTCTCATGCGCAACAGATTCAAGCCAAGGTAGTCGCGGCCATCAAGAGTTTCCTAATTGAACAAACCAAGTTGGTCCGCTCCGCCACTAACGAGGGCAGGAAGGCTAAGAACGAGGACCTTCGTACCAACACGGTTTCCGGCACCATCGAGGAGCGCGACGCGGTCATGGAAGAGCTGCGGAAGCAAGCCCCGTCGAATCACGTCAAGCAGGCTATCAACGACGCGCTGGGTATGACTGCTTCACGTTCAATTTCCACTTTGCTCACTCGCAATCAGCCGCTGCCAAGGGACAAAGGCGCCCCGATCTCGACACGCTCTCGCAGTGGGCCTTGGGCGAGGACAAAATACCAGAAGACAAGGTCGATGACGACGAAGAGGACGACGAGGAGGATGACGGGACCGACCAGGACCGCCTCCACGCGTTCTTCGACAAGATGACGATGACGGAGGCGGCTCCCTCGTTCCAGGCTCCGTACGGCAAGAAAAATAAGCAGGACGAGAAGAAGAACAACGAGGAGAAGGAGGATGATCTGATCGTGCAGGGCGTGGATGTCGACGAGAGCCTCGAGGACGACGTTCTCAACTTGCCCATCGCCGAGGTGCGTCGGGCGATGCTCGATTACCTCCTAGAGCCGATTATCACCTTCCGCGAGTACGAAAAGCTCAAGGTGCCTTTTCTTCTTCTTTCCACCACAAAGTCTTTCTGACGAGCATACGTAGGCTACTCCGGAGGAGGTCGAGGCTGGCGCCGCGCCGGGGTACCGTTGCCCGCGTTGCCCGTTATACCAGCACCTCGACCCGGTTCCCGACAAGTTCTTCGACTCCATCTCCAAGCTGCAGCGTCATCTCCGGATGAATCATTCCAGTTGGAAGGAGCTTGAGCTGAAAATGATCAAGCCTGGGATGTCCGACTTTGTCTGCGTGGCGGGAGACTTTAAGTAAGTCGTTTACTATCTCGATTCACCGTACTGATCTGACTAGGGCCAACACCCCGATCAAGGTGCTCGCGCACGCCGTCTCGGACGATTGTCCATTGGCGGAGTACCACCGCGCCCTCAAGCGTAGCCACGATCGCAACACGGCGGAGTACCAGACCGACTCAAGGACCTTCAAGGACAAGCGCCAGGGACGCGCGAACGTCATCGAGGGCGTCGATCGTTGGGAACTGGAGGCGGAGCCCAAGGTCAGCGGGCCGCTAGATCCTTTAGAAGAGGTCCGCACCGTTGTGCGCGCGGTACGTGGCCCGCGCACGCCTTTTTATTTTATTTTTACATCTGAATAGGCAAGTGATGCTAAAGGCGACGTGGACGTCACCGCCGTGTGCGACCATTTCCTAGACTACCTTTCCACCGTACCGCTGGAGGAACGCGCGCGCATCGTCAAGAGTAACAAGGGCGTAGCCGATAAGGAGTGGCAAGCGCTCGAGCTTGAAGACTTGGAGATGGAAGAAGACGAGGACGACGACGACGACGACGACCTGTAGTTGTCGACGCTGTCGCCGGAAGAACGCACGAAGCTGGTTGGGACGCGGATGGGCGAGCACATCTGTGACGTGTAACATGTGACGTGTACGTGGCAATTGGAAGTAGATAAACAAGTGAAGCCGAAAATTTTTGCTGCTATGTATAACACGTCGGCGCGGTTATTCTCTTATAAAAAAAAACCAAAAAAAAAGAAGCGGTTTGGTTAAGAAGTGGACGGTGCAAAAAGATCCGTCCTACCTGGGTCGAACAGGTGACCTCAAGATATCCTATTACAGTCTTGCGCTACTACCAACTGAGCTAAGGACGGCTTGGAACGGAGGGTAACCTACCGATCATATCCATTCCATCTCACTGTATTCTCAGCAGGCTCCTCGTCTCTGGCCAGATCCGGCAGCGCCTGTAAACGGCACCGATATTGTGCCTGGCCAGTTCAAGATGGACACACCTGTAGCTGGTTCTGCACCTCCTGATGAGTTTTACCGCGCCGTCTCATCTGTGTGGTACGTCTCCTCGTAAATCACGATCACGTGTAAACTGCTCCTGAATTCCAGTGGCAGGAGAGCTTTGGCTCCGATCAGCAATCACGATCACGTGTAACCCTCTCCTGAATTCCAGGAGAGGTTTGGACGTGACCTCAAGGCGTGGCTCATCACTCAATCGATTACAAGCTTTATTACACTGCCCGATAGCCAGATTTACGTAAGCAGGTACCCTATTACAGTCTGACGCTCTTCCAACTGAGCTAAAGTCGGCTTAGAAGAATGTCAGAACTGATTGATATGGATCGCGGAAGTATTGTAGTCCAAATCATGAAATTGATTGTTCCCACACCTTGAAGGAGGGTAGATGGCCCCGTCCAAAGTTGGTAGAGGTACCAGAAGAGTGCGGATCTAAACTGACGAACAGAGACAAGAACGACTGCAGAAGTCCATTACTGTATGATTATCTTTTATAGCGATATAAACAGTCTACTAAATCCACAGATATGGAATCCGTTAGGTTACTTGACCATCCGGGATACTGGATGGATGTTGTCTATGCTCTGTCGGCACTACTATTCGTCTGAGCGCAGAGCTATTGACACCGGATGGATGTGATTCAGTGTGCAAGCAGGTTTATGCATCTGCGATGAAAAGCCTGGATTGGGCCGTGAATGGTTCTACGAGGCTTTATTTGCTGCATGGACGCTGTGAACCATTTGAAAAGGTTTCACCTTCTCCGGTTACTATATTTCTGCGGCACTATTTGACGCTGGTTACAAATGCTGATCATCGGCGAGCATTGATGCGTCTTCTATTAAGTCAACATGGGCTAGCTATTGAAAGCCTGCAGTATGACAGCCGGTGTTACTGGCGCGTTGAGCGGCCATTGTGTTTATGTTGGTCTGGATGTTCAAAGGTTGAGACTGTGGAACACACTATCTTCTTTTGTTTTCAGAAGGATATCTTGGTTCATAAGAGGGATGTGTTTTACAGGTCTGTGTCAACGAAGGTCCCCGCCGTGTTGTCGGTTCAAGCGGCGACTGACGGAAGTTCTGGAGATGGCGATCTTCAGAAGAGACACGGTCTGCCAAGTTGCAAAGTTTGCTTCTCAGCTTTTAAGATTTTTGCCTCCCTATCTTTGCGTTGTCCACTGTCGCCTTGCCGACCATGAGTCTAAGTGTGGGGTGTGTCTATTGAATGTAGTTGCATGGCGCTGCTATCGTTGATCCCAGGTCTGTGATGCTGTGGCTGATACCCAGGTGCTTAGATCTATGGCCTTAAATGAGGTCAGCTCATCGAAGGCAAATGGCACCGGCGTAGTTTAGAGTACAAAGTTGGGCCGCATGTATTTCTGACTATAACTCGACACATTCCAAAAGGGGGCTTAGCTGGGCTATCAATTTATCCTGCTTCTTATCCTTAAAATGGGCACAAGAAAACTCAGCATCAGCCAATTCCTTCTTGATAATTTCCGCTGCACGTTCAGCAATCGCATAGACAGGACTCTGCGTGTGAGCGGCAGGAATAAATGGCTGGCAATCACGATGAGAACAATACTGCTTGAGACCACGGCGAGGCTTACCAAAATACCACAATCAATAACCCTCAGCCCTTTCAGCCCCTTCACCTTCAAATCCGGATTCACAACGCCATATGATGCCCCTTTGGGCGACATCGCGGAAGTCCCAACGCCATGCAGTCCTGGCAAGGTATTGTTCCGAATCCATCGCTCCAGCGCCTCATCCGACTGGAGCGCTTCTTCGAGGTCGGGGATGGGACCAAGGAGATACCCGTCCCAGACGGGGGAGGAAAAGAATCGTTCCACGAGCCTGATGGCGTGTTTGTTGGTCAGGATTTCGTACGGCGATGGGGAGGTGTAATGCGCTGGGTCCACAATCGGCGGTCCCGTCGGATTGGTTTCATTCAGTGTTATCGAACCTTCTGCGGACAGGCGCATTAGGGGCATAAGTATGGGATAGAGGTAAATTGAACGAACTGGAAAGCGGATACATGACGGTTATGACGAGAGCGAGAAGTGGGTTGCCCTCGGGATCGAAATCGGGCTATGAACGTATAGTGAGCTGATGCGAATCTTGGCATTGAAACTACTCACGAAAGCAATCAACTCGATATGATGCGAGTTCGGTCCAGACGACGGGTCTCCCCATTCCGCAAATAAATCTGCAACCGCCGGATCCGACTCGTCCAGGCGCGAATTGCTGATGAAATTGGCCCATGCAGACGAGATGCCGCCCGTCCGATTTAGGCGCCATAATTCAATGGCGGCGTTGAATTCTGCTGCATCTCTGATATTCACGTCAGGAGTTGTGGTGTTGACCCGGTAGAACGGGTAAAGCTGCAAACATGAGACGAAATACGTTGGAAGAAAATTCATGTGAACCTCCCATGAATCCTGAAAGTTCCTTCCGACGTCCCGGAGGTCGTGGAAGACAGGTATCTCCAAACGCTGAAGGTAGTCTGCGTCTCCGATTCCAGAAAGAAGCAGAAGTCGAGGGGAATTGGTAAACCCGGCGGAGAGGATGACTTCCCGCGTTGCACGGACCTCAGCTGTGGAAAAATGAGCCGGAGATGCAGGATGTCGGAGCAATGGATAAGCTTACTGCAGCTGCCCGCGATTTCTACACCGGTGACCACTCCATCATCTCCGATAATACGAGCCACCTCAGTGTTTACAACGACGTGAAGGTTGCTCCGCTGGAGAAATTCGGCCGAAAGGTACGAGTTAGCCGCACTGTGACGCTCTCCTCCCCCCGTATTCGACTGAAGCCACCCTACCAGAGCCTCGTTGAGAAATGCTGCACGTGCATCTACTTCAGACTCACCAATGCCAATGGGTTTGCCGCTGTTGTAGTCCTCAACAAAAGGCACTTCGTCAAACTCCTTGATTGTTTCGAGGACCCGTTCGTCAGAATCTCTGTGGTAGCCTGAAACACTAATCTTGACCGGTCCATTAGTGCCGTGAACCAGGGGGTCATACTCCCCCGTCGTATCGCGACCATTAACGGGCTGGACAAACTCTTCCGACTGGAAGCTCTTACATCAATGAAGAACATCAGATCAGAGGCTACTCGTGCGCACCTTCTTGAAGAAGGGGAGTAACGCATCCCACGACCAACGCGTATCGTTTACTACTGACGAAAGCTTATTCCAGTCTTCCTCCGTCCCTCGTGTCCACACCAAGCCATCTTGACCAAAGAACATCGTAAGTATTGTGGGACGTTTACAATCCCGAGACATACTTAGGGAGCTCCCACCACCCAATACACGCCCTTGTTTGTAGACAGATGTCCTATCAAATAATTCTTTCTGCCTGGAGGACATTAAATGTAGGACCTTGAGAACTGACCCAGACATACGGCGCCCAAGTGTAATTCCACGTATACGCGAAGCCCGGAACCTCTATCGCGTAAAGCAACTCATCTTCACCGATATATCTGTACGGAAGTCAGACATCCAGTCCTAGTATGAAGCGATGAACACTAGTACGATCGTCCAGCTTCAAGTACAATGACGGTGGTATCGGGATTTTCGGAGAGCCGATTGGCGAGAACGGAACCGGCCAGACCGCCTGAGTCATTTCAGAAGAATCCGCAAGCATTGAGAAAAACACGCACCACCCACGATGACAAAGTCGTATGAATCCAATCGATCTTGACCAAGCTCTTCCAGACTGTTGTAGATATTCGCCATTATGGACGGTATCCGCCATAGGTAGAGCGCCGCAGAAAGAAGGAAGAGATGCATGGGAAGCGGAGCAGACTTGTAACGCCTTACGTATAGTCATCGTACACCCCTTGTGACTGTTTTGGCGCCAAGATCTCGAGAAGGATGCTACGCGGCGACGCGGCCGCACGTCACAAACACTGCGTTCAGCGGGTTCCTAAACCCGAAATTGCCGAGAAGTTGTCGAACTGACATAGGCAGAGCTACATAGACGCAGCCAGACGGACCTAGGCAGACAGGTTGAGATCCGTCTATGTCTGCCCATGGCTGTCTATGCCGTCTCACAGGTTCTACATTTTTTAGGTTTAGGAACCCGCTGCCAAACGCAGTGAAGAGGAACATTCAACAAAGGACGTGGCGACACTGGCGAGTTCCCACGAGGCTGTAAGCATCCCTGTTGGGGTAAATGCATTGTAGCTGCATTTCAGAGCCGACGCCGGTGAGATGTACTATAGCTGGTGGAAGTTGAGAGCAAGTGTGATGGTCATCGCGTGGGAAATTCCGAAGATGTCCGATGGATCGGATATTCCTCAGATATTTGCATTGATTCTATTTTCTGACAACGACCTCCAATAATAATCTGGAACTGGAAGGATTATAGTGCCAGAATCGAACATCTTCAGCATAATCGCTTGTTCTTCTGCCTTGATTTTTTTTAGTCCCAACTACATAGAGTGTTTTTCCACATATTGAGGCGGGTTCTGTTGGACAATGGGAATGATATTTCTCTGATAGTATTTAAGCCAGTTCGCTGGGTTCGACATCTGGAATTTCATCCACGCAATACTTGATCTTATACAAAGAGCCTAGTATCCCACATGAATTCGTCGAGTAGGAAATGGGAAGCTGAGATTTTATACTACATAATCTAGACAATCTCCAAAGTTACAACACATCCATATAATCTCGACATTTGTGCCTCAATCTAGCCCATCTCCCGCCATTCCAATCTCTGACACGCGACCAGCCGTCATGCGGCGCCATCTGCTCGATCCACAACAACACCGAGCAGAGCGCAAAATCGGCGTAGGAGACATGATGGCCCTGCGCGACTACACCGTCCCCGTCGCCGACGTTCTTG